TGAAGTGAAAATAAAAATGTAGCAGGCCCTTGATCACATCCTGCTGTGTCAAATTTGTTATTGAGAGACATAAGAGTGGAAGCAACTGATAGTCTCTTAGCATGGACACCAGCTTGTACCAGCCTTCTGTTCTGTCTCGCACCACCTGCGGTGCCACCTCCCTCGGTCAGCTGAATCAGATGACACCACAATCTTGAGGCCCGGTCCTTGCAAACCAAGGCTCAACCGCAGTGGTCACCACCCATGGTCCTGCACGTCTACCGTCCTGTGGAGTCTGCAGTCTGCCACACCTGCTCTACACTGTAAAAAGTGGCTCGTCAGATCTACTTTAAAAAAAAAAAAAAACTTCATGTGGTAACAAGGAAATTAACTAGTTTTATTGAACCTAAATAAATACTTTGAATCAATGATTCTTTCAATCAATGTAGCATTTTAAGTTGAATAAAACTAGTTCATTTGTTTGTTACGACATGAAGTAATTTTTTAAGTAGATCTGACAAGCCACTTTTACAGTGTAGCTAATTAACATCTTCAGAAGTCCTTGATTGGCTGAATCAGATGCATTTGTGTTAGCTAAGAAAGGGCAGCATGTTGGAGGCAGGTGGGAAGTAAATTCATGAGTGTCTTGCCCGTATGAGACAAATGACTTTTGTCATTGGACATGAATCAATGCACTGTTTTTGCTGGTCCCAGTGAAGCTGCTTTGTGCTTTGTGTCCATCTTGCTAGGGTATGGGTGTACTATTTTCTTTTTTGCCCAATAAGAACATTTTACATTTGCTTTAGTTGTTATATATGGCTCTTATTAAAAGTGAAGCCACATCCCAGAATAATAAGCTACTGTTAGCCTACAAAAATAGGTCCATACGGCCGGCTACAACCCCAGACCACAGACCACTGTTTTTAGAAGTACCAGGGACTGGTTCTCTTGGCCCCCTTTAGAATTCAAAACCATCTTTCTCCCTGCGAACGTTCCAGACTCTCTGGGCTAATAGCCACAGGTCCAGAAAAAAAAGCCTCTGTGTAAAAACGCCCTTAGTTTTACAAAGATGACTGTCTTCTCCTTATTTGAAAAGTGAAGTTAAATACATGCTGATAAAACAGGATAAAAGGAATGAAGTTTGAAAGAATCAAACACATTTGAAGGCCAGTTGGGGATTAGCTTAGCACTTTGATATCTGTAGCAAGAGATGCTGATGTGCTAATCTGATTGAACCTCAGTCATGCATGAATACCTGGTTTCCCTCTCAGTCTCTCTTTCACACAGAGCTCTAGCGGCTCTGTGGCGTCTGAGCTCTGACCTGGTTCTCATGCGTAATCTTATCCTAATCCTGACCGAAGACTCCACAGGCTCAACGCACCTGAGAGGCCCAGGGCCTGGTCCTGGCTCAGTAACCATCATGACGCACCCGTTCTCCATTTGACAGACGGAGCTGTAATTCAGGCGCTGATCCGTATTTGCTGCCAAACCCTGCGCTTTTCTTTTCTCCTTTCGCTTTCAACCAGCGTGGCTATTGACATTTCCACAGGAGGCCATAGATGTGAAAAATTGAGCCATTAAGCTGAGCTTTGCTGTGCCGCATTGAGGCAGAAAATAAGGCCATTGTGCGTACCTTTTTCCCTCCAGTACTTCCTTTGGTTCCCTTCTTCTTCAGATGGGGCTGAACCCACTGCAGGTTTTCACTAATGACTGTTATGCATCAAAGCTGTTTTGACCACTGAGCAAAACTGTAAGTTTAAGAAGTCTTGATTAAAGAATACAGCAGATAGAGATGTTGCTGCGATTAAAATATGCAGTAAATGCTTTGTGGTAGGTTATTACTGAGTCATTACATTCAGTTATGTGTGCATGAGAATGAGAGAGAGAGAGAGAGAGAGATAGAGAGAGACAAACGGAGCAAGAGCGATATGAAGATGTGAGCTGTTTAATTGAACTATGCTGTCACTCTCCGTTGGCTTAGCATGACAGAACACACTATTTTTAGACCTCTGTGTCTGAGCAAGCATGAAGTCATCTATTTTGAAACCTCTACCCAGCCTCACTTTCCCCTTTTTTGCTTTCTATAGAACTGTTCACAACAACCGAGAGATCTGACAGGTCCTGGGACAGCTGATGGGAATTACCATTTGGATTGTCCACTCCAAACCTAAAAGCCTTCTGTGGTCTGCTTTGTAGAGCAGTGTCATATAGAACGTCTATCAAATGTTACTCAGAGGCAGCACTTAGCATCAATATTTACGTTATGACATCAGGTTAGGTAAAGGTTTCAAAACATGCCCTACTTCTTACCACACAGGCTTAAAAAGCCCTATTTTTGGATCTCATCAGTGATTTGTTTTGTAGCTCTCAGGGCTTCCTTGCCTCAGTGGTTGGAACTCTATGATCCAGTCATGTCAGAGCTATTTGGTGACTGTTGTACCATCTTCTATCAAGACTAACTAACTGAAACATTTCTTATTCGCCTCTTACTGATCAGTGTGTATTTAAAGCAGTGGTTTTCAAATCGGCCCTAAGGCCCCCCAGACAGTCCACAAGTTTACTCAATCCCAGCTCCCAATGCATAGGGACAGAGGAAAAACGTGGACCATCTGGGGGCTACAAAGTTAATACAGCTGAGAAGTGGAGGAGGTTTATATATTTCCAGTTAGTGTTGTTGAAACTTGTCTTAATAAACTTGTCTTAATAAACTTGTCTTAAACCATATCGATTACACATGGCTGCTATTAGTTTTTAGCTATGCAACATACTTTGTTCTGTTTGTATAGAATATAGTGTATCACAGAGTGTCAGAATGACATAAGCAAGTGTGTTTGAAGTTGTTTAACAGCTGGACATGGTTTCAGAAAAGATATTGTGCTAACTGATGATTCTGAGCTTGCGTTACTTTTGAATAATTTTACAGCTTTAGTGCATAACTAAAGAAGAACTGTTTATATTCCTTCCTAAACCAACTTAAAACACCTCTAAAATGTCTTCTGAGGAGGGATGTAAATAATGAACTGATTAGCAGTTAGCTAATAATAGCGATAATCAAACAACTGTTCGAACTGTTCTACAGGCTTACAATAACCAATATTTCCTGTTTAAATATATCAGATTTATCATTCCAGCTGAGGAAGATTCTTAAACTTTATGCATTCCATATTGAAAGCAAACAGTGGCAAATGATAAGCCGAACAGCAGTTTCGTCCGTGTTTTCTGAGCGAAAGTGTGGTGAATGGCTGTGTGTGGAAATCAGTCAGAGAAAGACGGCAACCGCTTTTGAGAGCTACTGATGCCTATTGAACCAGAGCTATGTCTGGTCATAGCATGTTCTTTTTAACTGGGGTCATGGGTAATGAGTGGTACGATATTTAGGATGCACCGAAAATGGTAGAAAATGACACCTTTGGTTTTCTGCGGGAAAGAGAAAAGATTTTGGCCAAAAAAAAAGCAAAAGATTAAATATGCTGCAATTAAATGTCAAAATCTAACACTTAACAAATAATCTGAATGCTAAGAAAAATGAGAAACAGTGAATAAAAAATGCTGTTTTTCCTTCATTCTTTTGCACCAATCAGTACCGACGTGTTCAGTCAGTTTGACAAGCAGTGGATCAGCAGTAAAACACTCGTCCACTGCAACTGTGTTTTTAGCATTTCCTTTAATGGAAATCACATAAATAATACTGAGTGAATCGATACCTATTTACCTCTTGTTTTAAAAGCTGTTACTGTAAACACATGCATTAGTAGATCCAGCTGCAGTTTTGGCTGTTTCTTGTATAAATTAACACTAAATTGACCTGTGTGTTATTATTGCCTGCTTGCTGGAGAATCTTCAGACTGCGAGATGGGAGTTAAAAAGCCACATTGATGTGTGCACTCAAATGTGCGTATATCAGGTATTTTACAGTCACTTCAAAAAAAGCTCAGGGAATCAGAATTCAGAACTGGAACTACTTGTTTTACACTTGATATCCTTGTTGATTTAATAGTTAATCATGGACTTATACCAGTCCATCATTGGCCAAAATTAGCTAAATTTGTATCCTCCATCTGATTTTTTATGATGTCACTGAGAACCAGCAGGCAGAGAAAAATCATTTTAATAATTAATGTTATGTTTCACCTCCCACCAACCCCACTCATCATCTACGGAAAACACTCAGCTAAATCAGAGGCCCTCCCTAGTGCATGTTTCACTTGGAAATACGTCACAGTAAGGAAGGAAAATGCTATTGGTACTGGTTAAACTACATATAAAATGTTCTCATTTTGGAGCTATTTATTCATTGATTAAAGTCATTGCTATGTTTTCTTAGTCCCTCCTGGTTAGTAATGTTCATTCTTGGGTTATGTTTAGCTGGGTTCTCTCTTGTTGTGCACTCCTAGCTCTAAGCCCAATAAAGCAGGGATGCATTCACTGCCTCTGCCACTTTGGGTGAGTTCTGGGTCTTGGGTTACTTCTCCTGCGGTGGTCTACATGAAGTCAGCTCCTCCAGGTCAGAGAGACCATGCCGCCTGCCCGGTGCCCCTGGCTGTTCTGCGGCTGAGCTGAACCCTCTGTGGTGGTGTTTGCTGCAGGCACTGATGGCAGTCCCCCCAGCCTTTTTGTGCTCTTGCCTTGCTGGGCTTGCTGTCCAGCATGTGGGCTCACTGAGCTGCTTCCACCATTCTGTGTCATTAACAAACATGTGCTGTTTACAGAGCGGCCTGCAGGGGGGCTCACTGTAGCCCGACGCCAGTGACTCCAGCCTGGGCACTTTCACTGCCTGCCAGGCCTGGGTGGCTGGCTGGATAGTAAAGGCTCATTATGCTGTGACTCTCTAGTCATTCATCTTGTGAATGAGAACAGAAATGCTATCCAATCTGTAATGGTTATATAAATATGATCAAACAGGCCTGTTGTATAGATCCTAGTTGAAGCACCGGGACCTGCTCTGCTGTGTTTATTTGAGACCGTGTATAATGCATTAATTTCAGGGTGCTGGCTAACATGGTGTTCTCTCTGTGTTGTAGGCAACTGGGAGTAGAGGATTTGTCAGTACGACCCAAAAGAAGACCAGATAACATCTGTGAGCTCTCACTGAACCCTGAGAGACGGTGAGTCAGAATGCACATACGTACACACTAAGGCCAGATCAGCATGGTTATGCAACCAGTATTGATGTAGAGTTGTTTGTGGTCTAACATGTTATCCTCATGGCAAAGGATAGATATTAAACCTGTAGATGGAGATGAAAGCACAGGTGTTCACTGCCTGTAAACCATATATATTCAGTATAACAGTCTTTTCCAAATATATTAAGTTATCAGACGGCATTGGGTACGTAAGTATACATTGGTAAAGTGAATAGACTAATGATTCCTGAGTGCTGCCAAATTTTTTTTACAAACCATAGTTTTGTTTGAATTGCTCTGTTTTCTTAAAATCAAAGGAAACCAGACACAATATTGATTAACCAAACAGTAACCCGATTTCCAGAAATAAAACATACACTGTAAAAAAGAAAAAAGGATTTAAAGAAATATGTAAAGAAGTATTTTCACTGGCAAAGTACTGTAAAATTTAATGGTTCGCAGAAATAGAATGTAAATTCAGAAAAAAAACTAATAGTCACATTTATTTTGGAGACATTTGTGTTTGTTTTAATGTTACTCTTATTTTGTGGTAAAATACTGTATGTCAGAATAACAGAAACTGTTTAATTAAAAACAGTAACAGGCAGTATTTCTAAGAAATCAAATGATTTTATCATTGCATTGATGATTTTTTTTTTTTACTTGTGCTGTGAATCAAAGGTTTTTGTCTGGCACTCCTGCCAAACCTTTTTTAATAGTTAGTTGTATTTTAGACACATTAGCAGCTGCCCAATTGCCCAGGGCAAGCAAAATACCAAAAGATATATTGAAAGCACCAGCACTGCAGATCACTTGCATGGTTGGACAAGCTGTTGTTTGGCCACTTTTGACAGTGAACAATATGCTTGATGTTGCCTTCTTTCACTTTTATATGTAGTCACCTGCTCCCCAGTCCAGTAATCCAGTTGTGTGTCGAGTTAAATGTAGCCAGTAATGTAAACAGAAGACACAAACTAACCTGAAGGATGTAATGTGAGTGCTGTAAATGTCTGCTTTTGGAGACGGCTCCTTTGTCATACCAGAAGAAAACTCTGTTGGCAAGCTTAGATGAGCAATGGAAAAATTGCGTTCATTTCTCATGGTAATATGACCTACCCCTTTAAGAATTAAAGGCCTGCATTCATTTATTTAACAATGACATTATTAATATAGCCTGCTTGTCAGGTTTCCACCGACAGGAGACTACGTCAAAGATGAAATGGGTCTGTCTAGGGTTTTATTACCTCTTCAGCTTTGATGATGACGATGATAAAGATGATGATGATGACGATGATGACGATGACGATGACGCATACTTTATAGCTGGTAGTGAAGAGCGTGTAGCCGCTGCACTGCCGCTGTAGCTGGTCCAGTGTGTGCTGTTCAGCTGTGTGTTAGTGGCATATTTAAAAGCAGTGCACTGTTTGATCTCTCCTCGCGGGTCCTGCAGGAGCACATCCTGCCTCTGCACGGTGCTATTTTAAGACAACTGCAGCAGTCGGGGGTCTCCTCTTCTCCCTCTCCATCTAAATCCAAAACGCTGGGCTGATTTAAGGTTGATTCGTTATGCACCATGCACCAAGGATCCGCTCCTGTCGAGGGATTTGGTCCACTTTATTTTGCTGGTTCTCAGGTCAATGGGAAGTGGGGAAGAGATTCTTTCAGCTTGCCTGTTAGTCGAGTATGCTTCTAGGAATGGACATAGTCAGTTAAATATGCAGATATCCAAGCTCGTCTTCATTTACATAATTAGTTATTCAATTAAGGCACCTGTAGATTGGAAAAAAAATCATAAATCGTTGTATCAAATAAGTCTTCAACTGAGCATGCAGAAGAACTGCATAGAACGTTGAGACACAATAAGCTAATATTGCATCTTATGTTAAGTCAAGTAGTGACATCTAAGCAAAGCTATAGGCTAGATGGAAATATTTCAAGCAGAAAGATGACAAAATTGTGCAAGTTGTGGCACTTTGGAAATGTTGTGGCTGATAGCATTCCTTCCCAGTTGTCACACTTCTTCAAGTCAAATAAATATCAAAGATATAAATGTTGTAGCACTAGAGGAAGGCCAGTGCCCCGTGACTATTAACCAGTTTACCGCAGAAACAGCCTCCAGGGATGATAAAAACTCATTTATTGCTGATTTCAAAACCCATCTTTCATGGGTCTCTGCTCTCGTTCATCAGGCTGTTTCAAATGGCCCCAAGTAAAGTACATATTGCTGCTGCTGCTATTATTATTATTATTATTATTATTATTTAATTGTTATTCATTTTCATTATTATCATGGTTTTTGTTGACATGCATACAAAATAAGTTTAATAATAAAAAAAAAGTAGTGGGAAAAAATACCCCCCTAAAGTACACATCATTAAACAAATGTTAAACTTCATGTTTTTTTTTTTTTCCATAACAATGTAAAAGTTCACTCATTGGTACATTTGAAATTAAGATATTTGAACAGCATGAATGCTTAAAGCATGCATCCTGCTTCTGGAACTTATGCGCTCCCCATTTTTCCTCCCAGTGGAAATTACTGAAAGACTCTGATGCCTTGGGTCTGTGCTGTGCTGTGTCTCTGAGCCCTTAGTGTCCTTAACAGTTTCATGTGTTTGCTTTGAGGAAGGGGTGGCCTCACAACACAGCGGCTTTGGGAGTGGAGTATGGGCTCAGGGGAGCAGAGGGGAACAGGGAAGTGAGCATTTGCTCTTGTCTCCCCTGCTGGAGATCTGGGAAACAGAAAGAGAGAGACTACAGGCCTTCAGCGCTCGCCGCCTCACTGCTCACTCCTCTGTCTATTTAGCTTCCTGGTCAGGTACATGAGTTCTTCAGCCTTATGCAAGCTGACTGAAACCCTCTCTCTCCATCCCTCTCTTTCACTCCAGACAGTAGGGGGATGGCCACATGCACTAGCGTCCATTACCACTGCTTCCTGGATTAGACTAATTGCTTCAGTGCCCCGGCAGCGTCGCAGTGCTGAGGGTCTGTTTGGCAGAGCAGAAACCATCTTTTTCTGTCTCCATTACTGCATTAAATGGCCCATATTCTACATTTCAACATATCTTATTTTTTTTCATTAAAATGTTTGTACCAAAAACAGCCAAAGTTCAGTTTCACATCCTCTCCTTACTCTTTACACTTAAACAGGCTATTTGTTACTATGCCTGTGAGACTGATATGTAAATGACCTTTGTTGACCTAATTGGTTGAGCCCTTCACAAGTGAAGTGAGGCATGCCACGTTCAAATAGCAGCCAGGACTGAAATGTACAGAACAAACTGTTAAGTTCAGAATGAAATCTTCAGGGACAGCCAACTTCAAAAGGCTATACAGTGAATGAATGACCTAAACTGCTGTAGGCTGAATAGGCAGGATACTGTATGTAAATGTGTTCTTGATTGTGATCGGTCACAACTATGATGAATCAAAACAGGCAGCGGCAGCTGTTTCCATATATAGGCTCAACGGCCTGCAATATGAATGCTATGCGGCAAAACTTTAACAATGTTTGCATGGTACATCAAACCCTTTTTAAAGCAAGAATTTCTGTTTTCCAAGACGTAGATCCTTGAAACCTTACATTACGTCCTGATCTATCACACAGTGAATGTTCAAATGTAGTCCTGCATCATGTTGCAAAGCCAAATCAAAATATAAGCAAACTCTAAACCTTTCAGCACAAGCAATGTTACAAAATGTTCTTCCACACGTTGCATAGTTTAGTGTAGCTTTTACTGCAGTATCAGCAGCATATTACAGATATTACAGGCGAACACTTATTTGATTAACTTACTTAATAATGAGATGGCTAACTTGGTTAGATAAACTGCAGCTATATGTGCCATTCCTGTTATTTGTGAAGTTATAATATTGTTTTTGTTATACAAAATAGAGGAAGGCTATAATATAATAATGTAATATAATATAATGTAATATAATATAATTTAATATAATAATATAATTGCTTCTTTTGTTAGAGCTGCTGAGCATTTTATCCTGTGTTTATTGCTTGCCTGTGTGTTGGACTCTATATTTTCTTGTTTTTTTTTTCTTTTTATCCCTTTTTGGATCATGTTTGCCTTTTTCCGTCTTTGTTATGTTTGTTCCTTTTTTGTATTTGGCTTGTTCTGGATTTGATCTATGCCTGTTTTTTGACCACAAGTATTGATCACGTTCAAACTAGTAAAGCCTCATTTCCTGATTTTACCCTCAAGCATCTGGCCAGTTCGGTCTTGTTACATTATCGCTTGTTCACTGTGCTTGCAATTAGGACAAGGTGCTGAAGTGAGTTATGTTTCAGACCCTGCTAACCTAGAATCCATGCAAAGTTAATTCACCAGTGGATTGAAGTGTAAATTCAATTGGTCTTACACATCTTACCTGAGAAATCAGATGGCAGGAAGTTGTCTTACCAGAGAAATCAGATGACAGGTATGGTGTTCCAGACCGCGGCTTCGATCGTGTTCTTCAGACCCACTCAGATGATATCTGAAATGGGGGTTTTGTCACAGTCTACGTTCCTAAGTGAGTCTGGGTCTCTAAGTGAGTGTGATTTAATCATGGTCTGGACAGTTCGTGATTACTGAAGGAGATAGGTCCTGTGTTTGGGCCTTATCGCTTTAAAGTTCTTCGAATAGAGCCATTTCTGCCTCGCTCAGCGAGACCAATCCCGATCCTTAACTCTCTCTCATTCTCTTGGAGCAGAGCCACACGCCCAAACTAAGGCTGTCCTCCACGTATTGACTCTTGTGCTGTCTCCCGCTGACCCGCTCAGTGCCTCAGCCTTCCAGGAGCTGACTTACACAGTGTTTTTGCTGCTCTGGTCACTCCTTTCTGTTTTGTACTGCTGTGATGGATCACTCCCTGGTTTAGAAACGCAAGGGAGCTTCACACTGTGATGCATTTTACTGTTTAGAATGCAGATTTCTCCTTTATGTATTCACTAATTTAAGAACAGATAAATCTTTCCTCGCAGGTGT